CATGTGCTCCCTGTGTCCCAGTGTTTAGCCCTTTTTTGGTTAATTTCCTGTCCTGAATATTTCATTTAGTTCATTAGTTTCCATCTGTGTTTGTTGATAGGATTTCAGGTGCATTTAATTTACTCCCTTGTTAGGTCTGGTATTTAAAGTGTAGTCTGTCTAATGTTTCTTTGTCGAGTCTGAACGTCGTTACCGGTTTCCTCTGTGTGCTTTCCTGGTTCAGTGTTAAAGAATAAAAGTATGCATCATCGTAAATTCCCTCTCCGTCTCCTCGCTCCTCCCCAGAGTGAACGTGACAGAAGACTCAACCACAAAACGATGACTGCAGCTGAGGATGCACTGTGGGGTCTGAGGTTGGAGCCATATGTGGAGGGTTTCCTCGAGCTCTCTAACCGGGTGAGCTGGCATGATGCCGCTCTAGGTGCATGCTTCCTGCTGGGGTTGGATGACGAGATAATCCGCCGCGATCTTCCGACGGGTGATTTATTTATTTTTTTTCCTTTGATTGAGCTGATTAATCTCATGCTGTTCTTAAATGGTTCAGATTTGGAAGTGAAGGAAGTAAAGAAACTTCCCAAGTCTCGTCATCCAACTCCCGCAGGAACGCGCTGCATCTCCCCAGCTCACCCCACACCGAGAACCTCCCCATACCTCTCCCCAGAGCGCGCTCCAGTGCCGGCTCCAGCCCCAGAGTGCCCTCCAGTGCCAGCTCCTCGTAAGCGCATCCTTGTTCCCCAGTTGAGCCCAGGGAGGGCTCCTGATCCCCTGTTGAGCCCAGGGAGGGCTCCAGATCCTCAAGTAAGCCCAGGAAGGGCTCCTGATCCCCCGTTGAGCCCAGGGAGGGCTCCAGATCCTAAAGTAAGCCCAGGGAGGGCTCCAGTCCCCTGTCATGGCCCATGGAGGGCCTCGGAACCTGTAAGCATCCCCAAGTATATTTTGGGGGGGTAGTAGGGCTCCAGCCGTAGAGGCTGGGGCCGCAGCCTCGGAGGCTGCTCCGTCATGGCCTCCTGAGTTCCCTGCTCCGTCATGGCCTCCCGAGCTCCCTGCTCTGCCATGGCGCCCCGAACTGCCAGATCCACCATGGCGCCCGGATCTGGGACCGCCTTGGGGCATCCCATCCTGTCCAAGCCTGTCCTTAGGGATCACCAAGGCGCCCACCCCCCCATCCCTTTGTTGTTTGGCGTGACGACATGCCTTCCGGAGGGGGGCATCATGTTGTGTTTTGTTCCACATGTGCTCCCTGTGTCCCAGTGTTTAGTCCTTTTTTGGTTAATTTCCTGTCCTGACCATTTCATTTAGTTCATTAGTTTCCACCTGTGTTTGTTGATTGGATTTCAGGTGCATTTAATTTTACTCCCTTGTTAGGTCTGGTATTTAAAGTGTAGTCTGTCTAATGTTTCTTTGTCGAGTCTGAACGTCGTTACCGGTTTCCTCTGTGTTTGCCTGGTTCAATGTTAAAGAATAAAAGTATGCGTCATCGTAAATTCCCCTCCGTCTCCTCGTTCCTCGCTCCTCCCCCGAGTGAGCGTGACAGTCATCTACATTATTCAGTTAGACATAAAGCAGAACTCAAACAGAATCAGTTACTAGAATTTTTGCTTTTTGTAACTCAAATGACTTAAGTTACAGTAATTAATTTAGTTTAGTAGCACATGGTTATGTTGAAGATGGGCCAAATAAACTCTCAAGACTGTATTTTATGCTTTGTGTTGCTATTTTTGAAAAGCATTTATATATTCAAACATGTAATGATACAAATCACAATGAGGGTGCCATTAGAAAATAAATCCAGTATTTGAGCACTGCGAACATTTCTGCTTGAGTCCACAAGTATACACACACAAAATTATGTAGGTCCACAATTTTTAATTTTTAGTTTTTTGTAGACCCAGGTTAAATATTCACAGTGCTCATAAATATTCGATTTCAGCATATGGATTTTCTAGTGCCACCCTTTGTAGCGAAGGCTACCTTGAAAGATAATAAGGGCTTGGTTTTGAAGGGAATAGCAGTGTACCAGGTGTGTAGGTCAGAACACGACAGCGAGGGAAGTGATGAACTTGAACTGGTTTAATTTGACCAGTACGTAAATATACATCAGAGGGGGGAGCCAACCATAAACTTGCACCTTAAACAATGCCCACTTGAATGTGGAACAGCTTCCAGCTACAGTGGAAGAAGCAACAGTGAGTCAATCGGACCTCCAGAGGTTGGAAGGCGGCGTTGGAGATCGGAGGACATGTTGTTAAAAGACTCATGGAGCTCCTTCTCCCCTGCTTTAAAGTTCGTACCCTGGTCTGAATAGAGCTCAGTTGGGGTCCCTCTGCGCGCGATAAACCGTCTGAGACTCATCAGGAAGGAGTCCACGTCCATATTGTGCATGAGGTCTAGATGCACCGCCCGGGTGGTAAGGCACTTATAAATGATGCCCCATCTCTTCTCTGAGCGTCGTCCTATCTTGACCTGAAACAGTCCGAAGCAGTCGACACCCGTCGAGTAAAACGGCAGCTTGTATAAGCGCAGACGGGCCACAGGTAAGTCGGGATCAACGGCTTAGATTTCCATCTTCGGCATTCTTTGCACTGGTGTTGCACTCTCCGAATGGCTTCTCTTCCCCGAAGAATCCAGAAGGCCCGACGCATCTCTGCGAATACTCGCTCAGGGCCTGGGTGACAGAGACGAGCATCATCCCTCGCCGGGGTCCAGTTCAGGGGACAGGGTAAGGAGACGACTACTTTGGAGTACTGCTTTCCCTGCCTTAAGGTGCCATAACTCCTCTGGGAAGCATTCAGCCTGGACTCTCTGGAAGATCGTCATCTCTGCCTGCCGATAGTCTGTCAGTCAGTTTGTTAAGGCTGCTGTCAGGGCCTTATCTCAATCTGCCGCCCCATGCCCCTCCTGCGCTACGGCCTCGACCATGGCCCTCCAACAAAGGTATGACTGGCTCAAATGTGTCTCTGGTAGGTCTGCTCTCTTGGGATTCATAGGGGAGAAGATGTTGAATGAGACTACTCATCCCTTCAGGATTTGGACTTCCTGTCGAATGGTCCGCAGAGCAAGGTTCTCCGGCTTCTTATGCAGGCCCAGTTTTTCAACAGCTTCAGGGAGGAGCATTGTGCACTCTGAACCATCGTCCAGTATTGCATAAGTGTCTAGTGTCCGGTCTCTGTTACGCAGTAGAACTCTGACGACTTTCAGCAGAACACGAGTGTGGTCCGATGGTCTGTCAAGATAGAGGACTTCTGTACTGGTGCTCACCAGGCAACTTTCAGACTTCGGCTGCTCAGCCGGGGGGCGGGAGTTGGCATCGTGAAGAACTCTCAAATGCTTCCCCTGACACACATCGCAGAGCTTCTTAAGGTCACATTGTGCCGCCTGATGTGCTCTCCCGGATGAGGGTAGTCCGCTCCAATCAGCACAAGCGGTTTGACATGTTCTGATGTCTCAAGAGGAAGATCTGCCAGATGTTTGTACTTCCTCTTCAAACTGGCGATTGGGTGATTGTGGTCTGCCAAGCCCAAGCGTTGTGAGGTGAAAGCCTCCACTACCCGAAAGGTTTTCTTGGGATTCATAGGGGAGAAGATGTTGAATGAGACTACTGATCCCTTCAGGATTTGGACTTCCTGTCGAATGGTCCGCAGAGCAAGGTCCTCTGGCTTCTTATGCAGGCCCAGTTTGTCAACAGCTTCAGGGAGGAGCATTGTGCGCTCTGAACCATCGCCCCGGATGCGGGGCATGAGAGGCACATGTACATCGCAGATACTGAGTAATGTCCTGACTTTAGATGAGTTTGTGCTGTGTCTTCAGATGGGAGTGTAACACATGAATTGTGCTGGTATTTGGTGTGGTTTGATCTGTAACAGACAAGAAGCAGCACTCTAATATAAGTAAGCACATCATCACAGCCTTAATACACAAACTATTGACTCCTCCCCTCACATGGACATAATATATAAACACATAATATAATCACAAGCTGACAAGCATTATGTCACTCACAATAACATCTTTTAACATTTTACTGGCATTATTTATCAACATGAGATATTATAACATCCTAAACATGTCTATAAACACTGTATAGTGACATAAGCTTGAGCACAGATGAATAAGTACCGTCACGTAACATTATGCAGTCGATAACTGCATCATACTATATAACAATGAGCATAAATCAATAAATGTGACAGTATAAACCTTACTCACTCTTATAAGACGCACAAAGCACAATATACACTCGATCTGTGGCGGTAATCAGTGCTATTTCTCTTCCCCAGTACCCCTACCACTGACGAACTGATATCTGCTGCAGCTGATGCAATATGCGATCGCTCTGTGCCGAGTTGCTTCACTTCCGATCTCCCGTGTGCGTCGTACTCTCATAATAAAAGTCCCTGTTCTAGTCGTTGCTACAGTGCTCCTAATTCTCTCAATCGCCTTTTGCACACCCTTGTTGTAGTTTCTACTGTGACATCAAGTACAATACCAAAATTTACAGTCAGTACTAATGATAGATTCCACTTGTAGCCATGTATGTTTTTATTATGCCATTTAAAGCATGCATGTTTTTGTGACTTTGTAGCATGTTAAAGAAGCTACCTTAAAGGTGCAGTAGGAGATCTTGGAAAATGCTAACTTTAGCCTGATAGCACTGAAAGCGAACGTCCCACCCTCCCTGCAAACGCCGTCCAAAGCCACGCCCCCTTAACGCATTTACGCTCACAGACCAGAATACCAGAGACAACATTACTACAATAGGCTACATCAGCGGTTCCCAATTCCAGTCCATGTTCCAAAGTGAGGTAAACTTCAACAGATGTCCCCTGCTCAGGAAGTAGGGAGCAATGAACACTGTGTAGGGATCGGAACACAGTTCATGCACGTAGCTCACTTCTAACGAGCTGGCCGATCTGGAAGGAAGATCGGATTGTTGGTGTTTGTCTGCCATTCTCGCTCTGTCTGCACAGCGTGCGTGAACGCCCTGATGACGTATCCTGTCTGCGCGAGCCGGGTGTGCAGAGGTATGATAATACATACATTGACAGGCAGGTAGGAAAGCATATTAAAACGCTCGGACCGAGCGTTTTGATTGGACGAATATTTCTTGATCCTACGCCTTCCACAGATTATATAAATACAGACAAATACATTTAGACCACTTAACTTAATGATTGCTATCGGGATGTGAAGAGACTTTCAACCAGCATAACAAAAAATGTTTCTGAAGATAATCACCTATTGCACCTTTAAATGAGATGAGATGGATTTTGTACATTCTGCACTGCATTAGAAGTAGCAGATTGTCCTTATAGGGGAATCTCACCTCATATTCCCCTTCACTACCGCACTTTTAGGCTGTGTGGCACATCTACTGTGCTTCCATGTCCCCTGTGGTTCAGGTGGATGCTGTCTTCATGTCATGGCTTCTTGTTTTCCAGCCCTAATTCTTCTTGGCAGAGTAACACAAGGCTATGCTATGTGAAGATTTATGGGGCAGAGAGAGCTACAGTGACAGGCACTGGCTGAGCGTCTCCTGGGACAGAGTTCCTGGGCTGACACAAATGCTGCAGAGTGTTCCCAAGATCCTTTCTTCAGCAAGTATATGGAATATTTTATTAGGGTATGTGGCTTGCAGTGTTTGGGAAGCTCCTTTGAAACTGCAGCTTTGCAATACATACATATAATTTAAACTACAGTCAAGCTACCCTTTTGAAAAAGTTCTTAGCTATATTATATATAAGGTACACTGAAATAGGCTAATGATAAAAAAAACAAATAGAAACAATTTTCACTTAGAAATTGCTAGTAAATTTGATAATCACAAAGAAATGGCACGTAACACACTGAATTAAACATGAAATGTTAAATGAGAATCACTGAAATAGTATTTTCTTGTAAGACATGCGTAATATTTATTACAATCACAAAGCTTTTTGATTCACAAGATGTTAATTGACGGGCTAGAGTCGTGTGGATTACTTGTTGATTATTGCAATTTTTTATCATAATTTTTGGGTGAACTATTCCTTTAAATGTTTTAAACATTTAAAAAAAAAAATTGTCCTATACTGTAATTCTCTTAATTTATCATTTAGTCAGATCTTCATTTTTATGGCACAAAACCAATTAGGTTTGAATGAATGAATGAAATGAATGAAGTGTAAAACATTAAGTAAAATTTCATTCTTAAACTGCATCCTGGCCAAAATACAGTGAGGCAGCAGATGCTAATATCATCTGAAGCATCTGTCCCTTATCAAGATATGAAAGTAGATTTCTATACCCATAATGCAATGCTGTGATCATATCAGCAGCCTAGTGATAAACTGCACTTGACTTCAGGGACACACTGGTTACAAGATGGAAGCCAGGTTTATATGTCTTGTAAATGATCATTCATAACAGCTGTAGGCTAGAGGTTTACGACTGTCAACAAGACTACAAAATATAGAGCTTGTGGTCAATGCTTGACCACATGAAAGGTCCAATTAGTGCTGAGAAATACTGTGTTATGTCCATGGGCATCACTAGGTCATTTTTAGGGGGGCTATAGCCCCCCCTAAAATGACTACTCAGCCCCCCTAAACATTTGTGATTAGCTCCATAAAGGTCATTTTTAGGGGGGCTATAGCCCCCCCTAAAATGACTACTCAGCCCCCCTAAAATTTTGTGATTAGCTCCATAAACTGTACACGAATTCGTGATCGCCTCAGTCCCCTTCAAATTTAATATGAAAACGGTGGCAGACTTCGATCAGCTCCTCCCCGTCTTTCAGCGCGTTCTTTTTCAATCCACAGACCGCAGTGGCGCAGAGCGAGAAACAGAGGACAAGGTGTGTGTTTATCAATAGATTGTCAAACGAAGCAGACTGAAGTGATAAGA